GGAGGAGAGAAAAGATGCAGTGGAAGGTGGGGGAAAGAGAAGGGGTGAGTAAGAGGAGAGAGGAGAGGTAGGGAGAGTGGGTTAGTAGAGGGAGAGGGGAGAAGGGAGTGATACCTGGCCCTTGGTGTCTCCAAGGGCACAAGGTACACCAAGACCAGGAGGGTCTTGGTCTTTGTTGCAGCAGTCAGTTGGAGGAGAGAGGGGGCTGAGATCTTGATCAGCCCCCAGCAGCACTTCTGCAGATGTGTAGATGTAGGTTTTGCTGTGTGAGCAGGCCCTCTCCACTGTAGAGCAGCCCCCTAAGCAGGGGGGTCTTCAGCCACGTGGCCGTGGAGATGGCCACGTGCACAGGCAGCAGCAGCCAAAGGGGGGGGGGGTAAATAGCCAGCACGGCACCTCTTCAACACGAGTGTGCCATGCTACAAAGCCATGGACACACTGTGGCGAGTATGTTATGAGGCTGCTTACGCACGCGCATGGCTCGGCAGGTGCCTGGGTTCAAACCCCAGCAGCAGCAGTTGCATCCCGAATTTTGATAATATAAATCCGGGAGCGGGGCGGGGCAGCGTGGGCGCATGGCGCGCGCGCACATGCGGCGGCCTTGGACTTGGCGCTTGCGCGCACGCGTGGTGATGCGGCTGCCTTTTTCGCCACGTGGAGCTCTCCTGCTGCAGCACCTTTTTTTGTTGTTTTTGTCCCGCTTTTTTGCCCGAAAACGCCCCAAAAACAGCCGAAAACCCGACTGTCGGGTTTTGCCGTATTTCCCTGCTGTGCGGTGTGGTGGGCGGGGGCGGGGACCGTTTCCGCTCCGATACCAATGTAGCGGACCCACCAGGTGTGGTGCTCCGCTAGTGACAGAGATGGAGATGGAGGAAGAAGGGGGAGCAAGATGGCACAACGCAGCTCCCCACGCAAGACTCCAACGCACGTACTCCAAAATGTGCAAGTGAGGAATGAGACTGAAAACAGACAATGGTTGGGGTATACCCTAGCGGACTGACGGGACTGGACTGGACTGGCTAGTACCGACAGAGGTACCGGCCTGGACTGGCCTACCCCGAATATAACACAGGCCTGTGAGAACAGGCCAAGGGGCTGGTCTCACAGGCCAACCCGAGGTCCGCTACATTGTTGCCCACTTTTCCCTTAGGGGACCACACAGAAACAGACTGGAAGGATGGACGCTTTGTGTACAACTGTGGTCTTTTCCGAACAAATGTTCATCCTTATTCTCCCCAAAAAAAACGTAATGGAAAAACCTTTGTGGCCCAATTTGGCTATTACTGACTTGTCTATGTTCTCCCCGACTTCCCAGGTTCTGGGTTGTGAAATCCAAGCCTCAGAGCATCGACTGTGGTTTTGGGCCCTCATTAGGGGTGGGCCGTGCTGCACGGTGGCAGGGTAGTATCACTGTAAA